GCAGCTATACGCGATGTTGCGCACTGATCCGACGAATTATAGCAACCGCGCGCGCCTGTGCGTCGTGCCAATGCTTGCGCGCGCTGCGCCGAATAAGAAAACGGACAACTAATTTAAATTTTCCTACGAAAGGCCTTCTTTCGTTGATTACTTCAAAATGATAGCTTGCCAGAAGGATTAATTTCACAGGGAGTTTAGTCCACTTACTATCTTTCAACCAAGTATGTTTTTCATCAATAATACGCCAGTTACTCTTCGGATGGCTGCAAATGATGGACTATAGCTTTAAAGTGGCCCTAGATTTTGTAGGAGAACCTTATACACATGGACATTAATCAGAGACATGTAACGTACCTCTTTCTACTCTTGAAGACATTGCCCCTCTTGGTGTTGATCTTGCAGTAAATGTTAACGTTGTCTTTGTTAATACAATATAAATTGGACACAATGTGCACGTTCAATTAGGATAAACAATTTTATGTAGAGCCAATATGATAATTTTGAACAGTATAATGAGTTGCATGCAGTGAGCGTGAGGAGCACAACGACAGTAATGAAGGCCTAGCCCAGCACCGAAACAACAGCTAGGTCGCTGTACCATGGTGATCAGCGAGGCATGAATGTAACAATAGGGTTGGAGTCTGAGTGGAAATCTTCTAAACACGTTATTTGCATAATGTGCATTCAGCACAAGCCTGGGTTAGAAATGAGAATCGGATAGAATGCTAATGACGTAATCCCGATGGGCGATTACATTTTGGTCACGAGACTTACTTAGAGGGGTGGCACAGTTTCATACTGATCAACTTCAGTTGAAAACAATTGCCTGTTTAAATACATTTGTGAAGGACGAAAACAAAAGGTACTGCACCCACTTTGGGGGGTTGAATTTTTGGACTGACCGGTTACAGTCGAATCAACGGGGCACTTGCTCAATAAAAGGCATCTTCCGTTGGTGTAGCAGCAGTGGCGTAGCCACCGGGGGGGGGGGGGGGGGGGGGGGGGGGGGGGGGGGGGGGGGGGGGCGTGGGGGGGACGTGGGGGGGGGGCGTGGGGGGGGGCGACCGCCCCCTCCCCCCATGAAACATTGTCGCCCCCCCCCCAGTCGCCCCCCTCCCCCACTGGGATTTTGAGTTTCTAAAAAAAGTATCATTGATCTACATGACGCCATGGGCGTCAATCCTGGGGGGGGGGGGGGGGGAACAGGGGGACATGTCCCCCCCCCCCCCTTTGAAGGGTGAGGGACACCATATCAAATGTCTCCCCCCCCCCCATTTTTGAACTCGCGTCTCATTTACAGGGCCCTATAATGTACTACAATGTATCTTTTGCTTAGAAAATATTGGTTAAAGTGGTCAGAAATTGCCTCAGATAGCACCACAGAGCATTTAGAATCCAACATTTTCGGGGCCCTTTAGCGGGCCCCGAACCCCACGCCTATAGCTCAGAATTCTGGTAGCTGATTCAATGACTCCAACCTCGAAAACAATGTTCACAAAATTTTCTTATGCCTTTAACTGAGAAAACCTCGAAAATTATGTTTAAATTATTATCTTTTGTGCTAAGATAATCATTGGTTAAAGTGGTAAGAAATTGCCTCAGATCACACCACAGAGCATCGAAAATCCTATTTTTTTTCGGGGCCCTTAAGCGGGCCCCGAACCCCACGCCAATAGCTCAGAATACCGATAGCTGATTCAATGTCTCCAACCTCTAAAACGATGTTCAAATAGTTATCTTTTGCCAAGAAAATATTAGTTAAAGCATGTAGGAAAGTCGTAAGAAATTGCTTCAAATCACACCACAGAACATCTAGAATCCAATTTTTTTCCCGGGCCCTTAAGCGGGCCCCGAACCCCACGCCGTAAGGGCTTCGCGCTTCGTGCTTGCATCAGTTATGATCAAGGTATATGTCCCCCCCCCCCACTTTTGAGAAGCGATTGACACCCCTGCTTGACGCCCCCACATGAAATGTTTCAGCCCCCCAGCGCCCCCCCCCCCCCCCCCCCCCCCCCCCCCCCCACTGAAAAATTCCTGGCTACGCCACTGTGTAGCAGCGTATCCAGCTTTTTTTCGGGGGGAGGGGCACATCCGTGCTGAACTTGATGTCAACATGTTTTTTTTCACCGGACACTTGGCCTCCGTAAAAGCAAATGGGGGGGGGGGGGGGGTACCAATTTTACACACATTGGAGCGCTCTTCGAAACCGGCCATTTTATTCTGGTTCTGTATCTGGTAGAATATACTGCATGCATAATCTCATCACAATAATGACAGTGCGGGAACACATTGCCCGATCGTAGCATGAAACCCAATGGAGCCAAATTATTCAAACGCCACTTTTGAAGGATTTCCGGTACAAATGCAAGAAACTGTTGATCTTTTATGAAGAATTTGGGTTGGAAACACATTAGCACAGCTGTAGGGCCTACCGATATTCGCGGAGTGCCCGGGGCCTATCGCGCTTAGCAGCCGGTCTATTCGCGGTCCGTTAATGGTGACTGCGGGCGCGCGGCATGTACCGCGTTCACCGATTGTAAATCTCAACTTTAGGTCCTCATCAGTTTCATTAAAAAGTATTTTAAGAATTAAGGATGTATATTGTGAAAATAAAAAAAATAGTTATTTGTTTGGTGTTCTTAAAATGTTATAGGAGGAGCTGAGGCTCAACTTTGAGAATCAAAACCGAAACTCTGATAACGAAGCTTAATTTGAACGTGATTTACCCTCTTCTCTTGCGGAAAGGGATTGTTTTATTTTCATGTGTGACCTTTTTATTATTGGTTACTATTACCATTTATGATAATAATTATTATATTGTACCAGAAATCATTTCAAATGGCGTTTGAATAATTGGCTCCATTGAGATTCCCGACACGACCGGGCATGCAATGTGTTCCAGGGGGCAAGTCGGTCAGGGGGCGAGTAGGTCAGGGGGCGAGTAGGTCTGGGGGCGAGTCGGCTAGGAGGCGAGTCGGTAAGGGGCGAGTCAGTCAGGGGCGAGTCGGTCAGGGGGCGAGTCGGTAAGGGTCGAGTCGGCCAGAGGGCGAGTTGACCTGCAACCGTGCATGCGTACCGCAGGGCTGGCAGGCCACGTGGTATTGCCTAGTTGGATGAGTTGTCCAGCTGGGTTTTGTAGACCAGCAACATTTTTTATGCAACATTCAAAGGTTGGGCCCCACCTATAGCTAATTTCCGAGTGAAACCAAGTAAAGTCAGACGTGTGAGGGAATGTAGTCAATGTAAACTATAGTTGGGACCGCAAAATAAAAATATTGTAGTGGCCCAACTATAGATAGGCCCCACCCATTGGTCCCAAGTAAAGTCCGATGTGTATCAGAGCTGTAGAGAATGTTTTACAGTCGTACAGCAGCGTAAACTATAATTGGGACTGCAAAATAAAAAGATTGCCATGGCCCACCAATAGCAAATGTCAGTAGGTCAAAGTAAAGTTAGACGTGTATCAGAGCTGTAGGGAATGTTTTATAGTTGTACATCAATGTAAACTACAGTTGGGACCGAAAAATAAAAAGATTGGAGTGGCCCAACTATAGATGGGCCCCCTTGATGACTCCCAACTATAGTTGGGGTGCTACAGTTGGGACCGTCCTAACTATAGTTGGGGCGTAACATAGACAACCGATTTTTTTACTGAGTAAAACAATGTGAAAAAAAATGATGATAGCTTGCAACAATTATTAACAAATCATTTTGCACATTTATTGGAAAGCGAAATTGTGTTCAATAGTTTATTCAAGTTTATTAAATAATATGTTTTTTGTTAACTTAATTATCTTTTGTAAAATTTATTTAATTTCTCCAATAATGACCCATACAAATACTTTTTTGTGGGTTTACCTATGATGAAAAAATTACATTGATACAATTAAATTGGCAAAATCGCATCACAGGAAGTTTTTACATCTCCAATATACACTGGTCATAACTTGTCAAGTTCTAAATCAACACAAGGAATCCTTGGTTTCATTACCAAATAATTATTTATGTTAACAACCATAAATCCATATAGAGACACTTAAAGGGGCCTTCGAATCTCCTGAATTGGAGCCTGTATCGAGACATAAAGTTGGAAAAACCTGTCAGTTTCAGATTGAGATGTCAAAAAAATAAATACATGAAAACTCATAACGACTGCATGCTACATTTGTTAAACAGTTCCCCTCTTCGTAAAAAGCAGTTGAGTGGATACTACAGCTCACAAGGAACATTTCACTCAAGGAACAGAGTACTGAAACTGTCACTCTATACTATTACATGTATAAAATAAACATCTTGCTTGAAAAGTCTCTCTGTAGTGTTAGTCCACCTGAACCAACACTTATACAATCTTAAGGGCTCATGACACAAATTTTACTTGGGCTCTTATTTTGTGCAACTTTCTACTACTCTTAAAATGCATGAAAACTATCTGACCATCCCTTTTTGGTTAATTTTTATTATAAAGCGCACTTTTTTTTAAACATTTCAAATTTTCCATGCTTTTCCTGACAAGAGAGGGCGCTGTTGCTGTGATGTCATTGCAGGAAGACACTGTTCAGTTTTGGGTTTTCTGTTAAAAATTGTGAACCGAAAAATTGCTCATTGAAAACATTTGTGGGAAAGCTTGCCTTTTTTGGGCCTATAAATGTCATGCACTGAAACAACTTGCAACAAAGCACCAAAGAAAATGAAATTTACGATAGCAAATTGTGACAAATTCTGAAATACAATGTAGCTATACTATAACATTGAGGTTTCTGCTTGAAATGACATAACACTTTTGCTCATGAATATGCAAATTTGCATTAGCATAAAAACCAAATTTGAAAATTTGAAAACAAGTTAAATGGGACACAAAGGTGCACTCCCAAGGATTGCACTAAAACATGACATTACATGGGCCTTTAAACTTTCAAGTATTGATAAGCCATCATTCACTCTTTCGATAGAATTGCTATAGTGATTCAAAACCAAGGCTAAACTTCAAAGCAAACGAAAGAATCTTTTACATCATGCTAAAGCAGCTAAGCTATTGCATAAAAAACTTCCAAAAAGACAAAGCTTGACACAATATAGCCTCTACTTAACTTCAAACGTGTCAAGGGCAATGAAGAAATGTTTCCATAAAGAGGAAATAAATGTTTTTGAGATCAAACAAATGGACGATTGAGGGTTTATTTCTTTCCAGCATTTGTGCTGTAGACTTCTTTCAGGGCTAACATAAGCCGCACCACAGGCGTCACGAGAGCTGTCAGAATGGGCAAGCTGTAGTACTGCAGGTAGTACGCAACGTCGCGTACCTGCAGCAATCCCATAATGCTCAGGGTGCCAGCTGTCGTCGGGGGCAGGCAGCGGGTTTGCCAGTAGAGCAGGACATTCTTATAACGTTCCAGGTTCAGGTCCAGGAAGACTAAGTCACTCTGGGAGAAACAAATGAGAAATCTGAAATTTAAAAAAAGTAACTACCTCCTCCTATGGACTAAATGGGATGCAGACGAACACTCACAGTAATTGTGGATGCCTTGCACCCCAGTGAAGCAGTTGTTTGTACAATTGACCTATCGCCGTTTGCGAGTTAGCCACGCCCCTTAGACAACCCTACGGAATTTTGTACGTTAAGTTATGTTTGTCTCAGACTCCATTTTGTATATCATGTAATTGGACTATATTCCACAAGCTATGTTGATGCGATTCCACTGCGATAGGTTAATATGCACGATGCTTCCATCAATACTGAGGATTATGGTATTGGGTGCAGATACTCTGTGGGTGCATACCTATGTTCCCCAATACCTATGTTCCCCAACCCTTACCCTAACCATCTAACCCTAACCCAAAGGATTTTGGGGAACATAGGTTTGGGGGAACATAGGTTTTGGGGAATATAGGTATTGGGAAACCTAGGTATTGGGGAACATATATTGAGGAACATCAGGTAGACCCCTATTCTGTGACTGGATAGGACTACCTCCTGGAGTGTTCATTCCCAAACCAAATTCCAAATTGGGGGGGGGGGGACCTCATTATCAAAAAGGAAGTAAAATACATTATTAATATTGTCAAATATAATTTTCATTTTTGCATCAGAAGCCATTATACAAACTGAGACCAGACTTTTCTTAATTGGAATGGATCTGTCCATAAAATTAATCAGTTTTCTCCTTTCCACCTTCTTTGTCAATTAAAAAAAATTAAGAATGCTAATACAGTCGACTTTTGTTAATACAAACACTGTTAATACATATTCTGGTTATAGCAAACATAAAGTCTTGGGTTCCGACTGTGCATTTATGTGCACAATGAATGGGACCGGCACTCCACTTAATACAAAATTGTGATGTAACAAACATTTTGGCTAGGTCGGGCTGAGTTTGTATTAACGAGAGTCGACTGGTGTATTGCCAAAAATAGTCACCTGTTTTCTACAAATTTGGAAGATATTTGGAACATTATCGTTTCGGTTTGCGGTAACACCATGTGGTAATAACTACTGCTTAGAAGATATTTAGTTCTGAAAAGAACTTGTCCTGCTTATTATCAACTTTCGCTAAGTAGTTTTTGTTCCGATAAGAACAGTCCTGCTTTAAGTTCTAAAAGAACTTGTCTTTGGTCTCCAGAACAAAAACTACTCTTATCAGAACAAAAACTACTTAGCGAAAGTTGATAATAAGCAGGACAAGTTCTTTTCAGAACTAATATCTTCTAAGCAGTAGTTATTACCACATGGTGTTACCGCAAACCGAAACGATACCGATACTCCACCATGCAAAGCCTCAAATTTTATATAAGATATAACATGTTATTAGTAGAAAGAAACAGGCCAATTTATCAAAAAATCAGTGTTTCATTAGCCACAGTTTGATGTACTGTAATTATGTGGTTTTATTAACTTCTCTTGAGAGGAAAAAACAAAATAACTTAAATTTGCTTAACAAGTCTAGGTGTCCCGGGGTTTGAGTCCTGGTAGTGTCATCTCTAAGTCAATGACTTATCTCAGACACTCACCAGATAGTTACTCAGCATCTGTACATTAGCCTCCACTCTGGTCTCCAGCTGTTGAGCTTGGCTCAGTAGGTACACCATCAACAAACTCCATGTACCAGTCACCACCAACAGAGACACCCTGCAGGATTTGAAATGTTTTCAAATTTGCTAAAAAAATATCCTAATAAAACTCTGGGCACTTTTCTTGGAGGAAATGCCCAAGTCCAACATTGTGTGGTAATCCAATAATGTTTTCCTGAAATGCTTTCAAATGAAAGTCACATCAGGCTCAGATGGAGAAATTGTTCCAGAGGTTTCAGGTCATAACGCAAAAATCAACTAAAAGCTGCTGTTGGATTTCAGAAGAATTGAAAAGATATTAAGGGTAAGTTATTTACCCAAAGCCTCACAGACTTGTTTAATTCATTAATTTCTGAGAGAGTTAATTAAATTTCTATTGTGAGTTGGAACAGTAGTAAGTATTAGGCAAGTTGTTGCATGATGGTCAAACCACAGGCAAAAATCACATTACAATCTGGGTGCAATTTCATGGCTCTGCTTAACCAGTTCGCGCCGGGATTATTTTTACATTGACCGGACCCAGGCGCGGGATTGTTTTTCACAAACCTCAATGCCAGAAGGTTCGTTAGTCCGAAGATTCGTTAGTCCGAAGGTTCGTTAGTCTGAAGGGCTCAGAAGTCTGAAAATAGAATAAGGTTAAATAATCCGAAGGTTTGATATTCCAAATAGACGATAAAGTTATATAGTGCGACTCGACAATAAGGTTCAGCTGTCCAAATTTCACAACATTGAACATTATTGTAAATTCGGACTATTGATTCTAATGTGCTTTCGAATTAATGAACCTTCGGACTATTGAAAGTTGTTTTCGTTTTGGAGTATTGAATCTTCGGACTAATTAACCTTATTCTAAATTCGGACCACCAAACCTTCGGACAAATGAACCTTCGGATTATTGAACCTTCGGACTAACGAACCCTCGGACTATCGCATCAAATGCTAGGATTAACGAACCTCATTTCATTTTCTGACTAATGACCCCCGGTTATGGGAAAATTGTGCATTCGGATCAATAAACCTTCGGAATATGGAACCTTCGGACTATCAGGCGGACCCCACTCAAACATGTGCATACACGACAACTCTAAACCCACTCACCATATTTTTATCCTGTGTGGTGTCAGACGACTGGAGGTGAACACATTCTCAGCCAGGTAATAAAGTAAGAGTGCAATGCAGATGATGTAGACTACTGCACATATGTGGTACATGCCAAAGATCTTGAGCCACTGGGGGTCAAATTCTATATGTATGGAGTCCTGTGGAGACATGATCAAATATGATTCATTTTTTCTCCTGTTTTAAGACATGTTTTCACACATGCAAAATAAATAAGTTTACTGCTTCATCGTGTCTAAAATATGTGTTTATCTTTAAAAACATCTGTCTAGTCTAGCTGGTCTCAAAACTTTGACAGCTACATGTAGCCATGTTGTCACCTGGTCAGTTTCAGCTGGACAGCTTCAGTTGGTCAGTTTTAGCTAGACAGATCAGGATATTATTTATCAACAGCGAGAGTACTGATGGAAATGTCAAGTTAAAACATGTACTGCTGTTTCCTCTCAGAATCACACACTTGTCTCTCAGAGTAAAGGCCGGTACATACTTCATGTGAATGCGGTGCTAATTTGACGTCACCAAGCATTTGCTACGACATTTGCCGGAGTTGAAATACTTTAACTTTTGAGAATTGGCAGCGCGAAAACTTGTCAAGACGTTACAAATTCGAGTTCGCGTTCGAGTTTGCTTTCGCGCCGAGTTTGAACCGGCCTAATAAGGCACCTCACATGGTGTACCCGCATAGTTATACTCTCCACCATGCAAAGTCTCTAATCATCAACTTCAATTGAAAGGCTCGAACGACATACCATAAGATTGGTGAATGCCAGGTGCCAGCCTAGCACAGACTTGTCCAAGTCCTCCTGACTTGTTGCCTCAATCTTGTTCACGGCACTGAACTTGGCCAGTTGCTTGTTGAAGGACTTGAGTCTGTCTACTACAGCCCCTGGAAATCATAAAAAAGGCAAAAGAAATCTGCTTCATGAAGCCATTCCGATAAGAACAACAGTTCTCTACCAATTTGGTGTGGACAATAGAAATGGAAACATTAGTAATGGAAATCACAGCTTTGACAGCCAACATGAGCAATCCCGGTACACGTAATCTTCCTGCACACGGTGTATCGCATACATCTATCACATACCTATCATATGCCTCTATAGTTCAACACAAATGCCAAATACAGTTAGCGGCCTCATTGAAAACATCATGATCATTCTCAAGAAAAGTTTGAATTTCAATCACACATGTCCAGCAAACGTAGCATCTGCATTGTGTGTTAAAGCTATAGTCCATCATTTGCAGCCATCCGAAAAGTAACTGGCGTAATTATTGTTGAAAAACAACCTTGGTTGAAAGATAGTAAGGGAACTCAACTCCCTGTGAAATTATTCTTTCTGGGAAGCTGTCATTTTGAAGTAATCAACGAAAGAAGGCATTTCCAACGGTGATTCTTAAGAAGCACCGTAGGAAAATTTAAATTAGTAGTTCGTTTTGTTATTCAGCGCAGCGCGCACAAGTATTGGAACGACGCACACGCGCGCGCGGTTGTTGTAATTCGTCGGATCAGTGCGCGACGTCGCGTATAGCTGCAATTCAAAACAATTCAAAACATGATTCAGTAACTTTTGATTTGAAATTGAGATCTTAGAATGCTGTTTTTCTCGGAATGTACAGCTGAAGCTGAGCTGAAACTTCATCAGGTTAGTTGCTCAGTATCCTTCATTAGATTTTGAACTCTTTTGTTGCTTCAAACGAACAAAATGCACAAATTACAAATGATGGACTGTAGCTTTAATTGCCTAGTGTACGGTGAATATAATTTTGGCAATGTCTGCAAATGGATGCCAACGTTTGTCCACGAGCCATGTAGCCAAAGTAGGATTTCCATAATCGATCTTTTGCTCACATTAGCAACTGCACCATGTTATTTCAAATTGTGACAAAGTTCCTTGCTCAAGGACAACATGAGCTTTGGCCCAATGGTTTAAAGACTGAATTAAACCTATGAGTCAATATGATTATGAGTTTGAGCTCACCATGAAGGTGCTGAAAGAGCATGGCGACACCCACAATCAATAGGAGTGACACGGCACTAAGGGCTGCCACCTCTCGTTGACTCAACCTCATATTATCCATCTGTGGCCACAGACTGACGCCCCCACCGACACCCAGGTTGTGCGCCCGTGACTTGGCCTCGTGGTGTTTGCGTTCCAGTATCTTCTGCTTCTGCAACGCTCTGCCTGCAAAAACCAAACCAAATGTCGCATCAACCATCAGTCAAAGCACTTCCAGTATATGCTTATACTAGTAGTGGATTTGCGGAAATTTCGTCTTGCAAAACCATGTGGGAGTTTGATTTTAAAGAAAGGTTGCCCATTTACATTAAATTCCTAATTGAAGGCATAGCGCGTAGCAGCGAGCTCATCATACTACTGACTGCTACATGTACATGCATACGGCAAAATAAGGAGGTTATATCGTCAGCAACACCACGAAGTAACACCCATCTACATACCAGTAAAAACTAGCAATCGGAGAAAACGGCAAGTAAAGTTGAACGCCTTCTAAAACAACACTTTGCGTCAAAACGACAGAGTATTTTCAGTTGGGTTTCTCATTGTGGACACTTGATGAATTTAATTTATTAAATCTGCTGTTTTTCACCCGTTTGTGTATTAATAAACAAGAAATAAGAGAAAAAAGATGAGAGTTAGTTTGTGAAACCGAAAAAGCTGCGAAACTGTAAATTTTCGTTTTCACAAAGTAACACTCTTCAATGTATACAAACATGAGCAAAGTGCAACTTCATATCAGCTCGCGCGCGCTCATACAACTTATTACAAGAAGAGTGTTAGTTCGTGAAAACGTTTTTGCTCACTTATGAGCAGAGTGCGCGCCATGCATTGCAATGGTAAATGGAACTTGAGTGTTACTTAGTGAAAACGAAAATTGTCAAATTGCGCAAAAGTTGCCATGGATACTTTGCGTAATAATTAAAGTAAAGCTCTTGAAGCTTTGAAACTTCATGCAATGGTAGGCCTTGATGAATAATGTTTAAAAATCAAAAAACTAAAAATAAAAAAAATATGGTTTAAACACGGTAGAGTGTTCCTTCGTGGTGTCAGTGACGATATGTTTGCAATCAGTTGCTGAACAGATACATCTTCGTACCAGGTGTCATCCTCAGCTGCCTGAGACTAGGGCTGACATGCTTTTCTTCATCTTCATTGTCTCCTCCAAGAAGCGTTTTCTCCAATCGGTTTCTCACCACGCCCAAAGCACCATTGCCCCGGCCAACTACCGCTTCCTCCATTCCTTGCTTAGGCGGATGACGGGGCGTGGCAAACGGCACTATTTTGGGGGTGCGCTCGAAGAGCGTCTTCATTTTGGTGACATCGACATCTGGGTCTGCGTCAGGGTCACTGCTGTTGTTGTTGGCATTCTCCAAGTTGTCCGTTTTAATTGGACGCAACACATGCCTTCGTCTTGGGGACTGTCGAGGGGCATGTGACATTATGTTAGGAACTCAAAAATCTGCAATGAAATGCAAAACAAAGTATTATGACACAAATGTGAATGCACGTGTAAGAAGCACCAATTCTTAATTCAATATGACAGCCTCTGTTCTGATGGTGAACAGGTGAACATCGGAAAACATACCAGAAAGAATGCTTTAAGTTGCATCCTGACGCCACTTTTTACGTCATATAAAATCTCAATGAAGGTCAGTCATTGCAAAAATGTTGAAAAGATATGAATCTAACACTGAGAAACATTCCCAATTTTGTTAGGAAATACTTTGAAAATATTCTGGACTCTCCATGTAGACTGTGTACACAACCGCTGAAGTGGCGTAGGCCTAGGGCCCTACTACAAAATGTGCATATGCAATTGCATACTCCTTGAACTATGAGGCTCCACGTAGTGGAGCCTCATAGTTCTAGGACTAGAGTAGCAATTGCATACGTCATTACGTGTACATTTTCTACTAGGCCCTGGACCTAGCATGCCTCGGCCGGAAACAGGTCAACTCGTACGCGAGCCAACTCGTACGTACGCAGGACAACTCATACGCGAACAAACTCATATGCGGGCCAACTCGTCGAGCCACTTTGTACACGAGCCAACTCATACGCAAGCCGAAATATGCCAATTTAAAAAAATAAAAATTGAAAGAAAACATGGAATTTTGGAATTAAAGAGATGTCTTTGATGAATTAAAAATATAAACGCAGTGGCTATTGTTACGGCAGCCGTAACGCATTTCCCATTTTCTATCATTACGGTAGACTGCAACTTTTATAAAAACATGACAAGAAAATATAAAATTAGAAGGAAAAAAGTGAATTTGAACGTTATGAAATTCGGACTTTATTTCCCTTTTAAAAAAAATTCTCCAAAGCCTCAGGTTAGAAAAAGAAAAAAATTCGAGTGCAAAACTGAAATTCGAACCCGCAACCTCGCGGTGCAAAATCCTACCCTCTATCGACTGAGCTGTCGCACTACTCGCTAAATCGTGTGGAAACAAATAATTATATACCTGCGTGCGTATCAAAAAAGTATCGTAGAGGGCGCTAAACAACGACTGCCGTACCGATAGCCACTTCGAAATATAAATCTAAATTTATTCATAATTTTGAAATAAAAATAATTGATTAATAAATTCGAAGGGTACATTTATACCTGTACTCCCTAGGCCTATAACATTATTAATTTATTGCTATACCAGTTCAGCCTATGTCTATGATGCGGTTGTGTACAAAGTCTATGGACAGTAATCAGGCAATGACCAAAAAAGGCAATGGCAAAAAACATGATATTAATGATAAATGTCACAGTATAACTTAAGCTTACGAATAAAAATACGAGTTACGTTGGTCTGCTCATCCAAAAATCAATATTATAATATTTTGCTCATAGTTCATACATGTCGATTTCGCTTATTGGACGAAATTCACCATCTCACGCGAGGCCATGGCGGCGGGCTGGATGTTGTTTTTGTAGAGAAATTTGAGTTTCCCTCGCAGTCGCACATTAATTGTTGAATCACCTGTTTAGCCAAAAGAGGGCGCTGTTGGTTGCGGATGCACGGCGGATAAATTTAAGAACGGAGAGGTTTATACCCCGCAAGATTTGAGACCAAAAAATTTTGCACTATGTGCGTGTAGATACACTACACCCTACACCAATAAAGCGCCCTCACAAGGCAGCAGGGATGAAGCTAGATTGATCACGGACAACCTGCTTATGATGTGACAAAACTTTAATATGGAAGCATGCGCATCGGTCATGTAATTCCAGAACACACAGTTGGCATATCCAATCGTGTACCCTCTCTTACGGTCACATGCACACAAAAAGATCTACACTGTCTACACAGTGGTTAAGAGGTCTACAGCATCTACACAGTGCTAAAGAGGTCTACAGCATCTACACAGTGCTAAAGAGGTCTACAGCATCTACACAGTGCTAAAGAGGTCTACAGCATCTACACAGTGCTAAAGAGGTCTACAGCATCTACACAGTGGTTAAGAGGTCTGCAGCATCTACAGAGTGGTTAAGAGTATCTACACAGTGGTTAAGAGGCCTACAGCATCTACACAGTGGTTAAGAGATCTACAGCATCTACACAGTGGTTAAGAAGTCTACACTATCTACACAGTGGTTAAGAGGTCTACAGCATCTACACAGTGGTTAAGAGATCTACAGCATCTACACAGTGGTTAAGAGGTCTACAGCATCTACACAGTGGTTAAGAGGTCTACAGCATCTACACAGTGGTTAAGAGGCCTACAGTATCTACACAGTGGTTAAGAAATCTACAGCATCTACACAGTGGTTAAGAGGCCTACAGTATCTACACAGTGGTTAAGAGGTCTACAGCATCTACACAGTGGTTAAGAGGCCTACAGCATCTACACAGTGTTTAAGAAGTCTACAGCATCTACACAGTGGTTAAGAGGTCTACAGCATCTACACAGTGGTTAAGAAGTCTACAGCATCTACACAGTGGTTAAGAGGTCTACAGCATCTACACAGTGGTTAAGAGGCCTACAGTATCTACACAGTGGTTAAGAGGCCTACAGCATCTACACAGTGGTTAAGAGGTCTACAGCATCTACACAGTGGTTAAGAGGTCTACAGCATCTACACAGTGCTAAAGAGGTCTACAGCATCTACACAGTGGTTAAGAGGTCTACAGCATCTACACAGTGCTAAAGAGGTCTACAGCATCTACACAGTGGTTAAGAGGCCTACAGCATCTACACAGTGGTTAAGAAGTCTACACTATCTACACAGTGGTTAAGAGGTCTACAGCATCTACACAGTGGTTAAGAGATCTACAGCATCTACACAGTGGTTAAGAGGTCTACAGCATCTACACAGTGGTTAAGAGATCTACAGCATCTACACAGTGGTTAAGAGATCTACAGCATCTACACAGTGGTTAAGAAGTCTACACTATCTACACAGTGGTTAAGAGGTCTACAGCATCTACACAGTGGTTAAGAGATCTACAGCATCTACACAGTGGTTAAGAGGTCTACAGCATCTACACAGTGGTTAAGAGGTCTACAGCATCTACACAGTGGTTAAGAGGCCTACAGTATCTACACAGTGGTTAAGAGGCCTACAGCATCTACACAGTGTTTAAGAAGTCTACAGCATCTACACAGTGGTTAAGAGGTCTACAGCATCTACACAGTGGTTAAGAAGTCTACAGCATCTACACAGTGGTTAAGAGGCCTACAGCATCTACACAGTGGTTAAGAAATCTACAGCATCTACACAGTGGTTAAGAGGTCTACAGCATCTACACAGTGGTTAAGAGGTCTACAGTATCTACATGTACACAGTGGTTAAGAGGCCTACAGCATCTACACAGTGGTTAAGAGGTCTACAGCATCTACACAGTGCTAAAAAGGTCTACAGCATCTACACAGTGCTAAAAGAGGTCTACAGCATCTACACAGTGGTTAAGAGGTCTACAGCATCTACACAGTGGTTAAGAGGCCTACAGCATCTACACAGTGGTTAAGAGGTCTACAGCATCTACACAGTGGTTAAGAAATCTACAGCATCTACACAGTGGTTAAGAGGTCTACAGCATCTACACAATGCTAAAGAGGTCTACAGCATATGGTATCCGGTCAACTCGGACCCAAATCAACTAAACTCATGCCAACTCGGACCCACGCCAACTCGGGCCCACGCAAACTCGGACCCACTACCAATTCAGACCACTACCAATTCGGACCCACGACCAACTCGGAGCCACTACCAACTCGGAATCACTACCATCTCGGACCCAAGCACGACCAACTCTCACCCAACAATGATTCAATCATTAGTTTCAGGGATTATAGGTCATCTCACAGTGTTGGATGTATTCTGTAATATATTCGGCTTTTATTGTTTTCTTTTGCTGTCGCTGAGCGGTACTTTATGAGGTGTACGGAAGTTGTTGCTAAACGCTTATCGTTTTGAGCGTCATGAAACTCAACGTGCTTAGCTTTTAGAAACCATGACTTAACCATGGCGGGAATATCTGTATATGAAGTTCAACCAAGAGATGTGTACATGTACATGTATGTAAAGCAGGTTAGGCCCAAAGATTAGGCCTACCATATATCATTTTGTACAGGTTGGTACGGTATATGTTTTGAAGAGCGTCCCGCCAAAGTTGAAATTAATTAGTTGATTACTTGTCATGGGCTGTTTTTGTTGTGTGATGATTCGTTGGAAAGCTCATTACTAAAAATTATCAACTTAATTTGAAAATGTTTGTTCAAGGTGCTACACCCAACTAAACATGTATACACCAACTTTAAATCCCTTTAAAGCCTGGTTCCTTAAAAAATGGTGACCTTAGGCCTGTTGAAGCAAACATTATGTAACTGTAATTGATTAAGAGCACAAAATCATATTTTTCGTTGTGACTGTTGGTCCGCCATGTTGGGGTGCCATGTTGGGGTATTTAATTTTGACTAGGCGTTTGTAATCAAGTTCGATGTTTGAAGACCCTGCGCGCTTATGCCATGCTAACGTAACACTAAATCAATTTTATTCGACACGGCATAAGCACATTTGAAAGAGGCCTTACCACATTGTTTATATTTTTGATCTGTGATGAACGGTAACCTGCCCGCATCCAATTACAGATGTGCACAATGTAGACCTACATATCTTTGACGATCACTACGACGAACGGTAACCTACACATTTGTTATTTTAGGATGTAAAACAAATAGTAACCGAACGGTATTTTTATGTACTAGAGGCAGTGAACGTGTTTCAGTGAGGTCAGAGGATGTTTTTTCAATTGAAATAACTATTTAGGCAAAAAAGTAATTGATTATTTTTTTTTTTATTCACATGCTTTCTTTGATTTTTGTTCTTTTAACGGATTTGTTTAACTGTTTATACTTTTTTTATTTAGTTTTTTATATAGATTCATATGGACCTTTCGTTTTTCTTATAAAGTGTATGCAATGGTGTTGATGTATCTTTTAAATCAAACGTTTTTATTTTTTTCATATTTTTTTGGCACTTGGAAATGGCACGTTTCGTTTATACAAACTGTATGGTAGTTTTATAGTTATTTATATTATTTTTTACCCATCTAGGCTGTTAATTTCATATTCAAAATATGCTCACATTTTGTGGGTGTTTTGAAGTTGGTTATCGTTTAGATCCGTGAATGATTTATATCTTATATTTTATTTATTGACTTTAGTTTTATCCAGTATTCATAAATACCTAAGACAGTTTACGCATTCCTATTGGTCGAGAGCCCGTCACGTGCCCGGTCTTAAACGGATGATAAAGACATGGCTAGCTGGTTTTAAACACTTTTCCAGTGTCACAATAAAATGTGGACTCCTAAAAATCCAGTACCTCTTATCGTTTCATTGGTTGAACGTTCACAATCCTCACGTAGGCATGCGCAACACAACCAGGGAGTCAGAAATTTATAGTTCTAAATTCAAAATGCAACGCGCCAGGTGCGTTCTGCGCGACATCGCGCAGAACATGATACGTGCGCGTCAATCTCCATAAAAGGGTTGTTTTATAAACATCTTACTCGCCAGCTGAACACTCCATTATTTTGCAAGAGGGATGTTTCAAAAAGCATGAAGTGAATTTGTTGAACAAAATCGGGATGGTTTGAACGAATTATATGATTTTTTTACCGAAAAGGTATTTGTGAATGGGAATAAATATGTGCTCCGTCGGTATTTATCACTCTGTTTAAGACCACTTAGAGTCTGGGTGCTGATAATTACCCGAGCCGGAGGCGAGGGTTATTTTCAGCACCCAGACTCTAAGTGGTCTTAAACAGAGTTATAAAAACCTCCAGAGCACACATTTATTCCCTTAGTATATACAAATGAATAATGTTTTGTATGAAAGTGTTTATATTTCAATGTTCATGCTTTCCAATTTTATTTTTCTATGAAGATCTGTGCTGGATGTATTAATTTCGTTACGTATGAAGTTTGGATAAACAATGAAATAACATGAGAAAAATGGCATGAACGATATCACTTAACATATGTGTTAATTTTTTAAAAAAAATTAATAAATAATAAAATACACTTTTAGTAAAAGTTTTACTAGAGTTATCGCATTACAATTACAATGAAAAATTATACTAAACAGCATCACTGTAACACATGTAACTTAAACGGAATGGGGAATGTTTGAAAACGTGCATAATGAGTCCGAGTTGGTTGTGGGTCCGATTTGGTAGTGGGTCCGAATTGGCATGGGTCCGAGTTGGCTTGGGTCCGATACGTACACAGTGCTAAAAAGATGTTGTAGACCTCTTTAGCATTGTGTAGATAGTGTAGACCTCTTTTAGCACTGTTACGCCCCAACTATCGCATCGGTCCCAACTATAGTTGGGCCTGTCCCAACTATAGTTGGGCCTGTCCCAACTGTAGTTCCACAGTCGGGCTGGCCCAACTATAGTTGGGCCTGTCCCAACTATAGTTGGGATGGTCCCAACTGTAAGTTCCACTGTTGGGCTGGGCCATCTATAGTTGGGCCACTCCGATCTTTTTATTTTGCGGTCCCAACTATAGTGTACATGTACATTGTTGTACGATTATAAAACATTCCCTATAACAACTTAGCTGGAGTTACCCAGCCCTGAGTTTTATCATTGGGTTGTCTATAAGGGCTGGAGCGAATTTTTCTCGTAACTTGTAGTATTTGCAAAAAATTTTGGAAAATGTTCAATTTTGTCCCCGTTACACACTAATTGCAACTGCAACTCACCCCAAACTTGCCTGGAATAACCATTACACAGGTCCTTGAAGTAAAAAACGATCCACGATGAAGATTCAGCCTACAATTGCAGTGAAAACAGGAGGAATAACCGTTAACTTGACAACCTTGCTGGATTGGCCATGACCGCCATTGGTTTGTGCACAAAAAAAATTGTGTACAATGAATGGCGGTCGATTAACAGGCACAGAGAGAGCGATCGCTGTCAACTACTCGTTTTTGCCGGCTGCGCTGGCTGTTGGCGCATGACGTCACGCGGAAGCGTAACACCCGATGACTGTTTCATGCACTAATATGAGGTTTACCACTCGCATCACAGCTTTGGTACTGGAACCGCAACCAATAGTGCATGAAACAGTCATCGGGTGTTACGCTTCCGCGTGACGTCATGCGCCAACAGCCAGCGCAGCCGGCAAAAACGAGTAGTTGACAGCGATCGCTCTCTCTGTGCCTGTTAATCGACCGCCATTCATTGTACACAATTTTTTTTGTGCACAAACCAATGGCGGTCCTGGCCAATCCAGCAAGGTTGTCAAGTTAGCGGTTATTCCTCCTGTTTTCACTGCAATTGTAGGCTGAATCTTCATCGTTGATCGTTTTTTACTTCAAGGACCTGTGTAATGGTTATTCCAGGCAAGTTTGGGGTGAGTTGCAGTTGCAATTAGTGTGTAACGGGGACAAAATTGAACATTTTCCAAAATTTTTTGCAAATACTACAAGTTACGAGAAAAATTCGCTCCAGCCCTTAAGTTATAGACAACCCAATGATAAAACTCAGGGCTGGGTAACTCCAGCTAATAACAACTCTAATACACATCTGACTTTACTTGGGACCAATGAAATTATCTATAGGTAGGGACCATCTGTAGTTGGGCCACCGCAATATTTTTATTTGGCGGTCCCAACTATAGTTTACACTTTACATTGATGTACAACTATAAAACATTCCCTACAGCTCTGTTACATGTCCGACTTTACTTGGGACCTTTGACATTAGCTATGGGTGGGGCCCATCTATAGTTGGCCGGCCATGGCAAGCTTTGAATTTTGCAAAATGTTGCTGGACAATAAAACCCAGCAGCTGCAGACAACTCATCCAACTAGGCAGTACCACGTGACCGGCCAGCCTTGCGGCATGCATGCATGCACGACGAATACACGGTGCCAGCGCCGCGGAACATTTAATCCAACAAGATCTATCAAGCATGCATGAAGCATCCGGCGCAACTCCAGTCCCATAGTTGGGACCGATGCGATAGTTGGGGCGTAACAGCGACAATCCCAACTATAGTTGGGCCGACCCAACTATCGTACCACAGTTGGGACAGGCCCAACTATTGTTGGGACCGATACGATAGTTGGGGCGTGACAGCACTATGTAGATGCTGTAGACCTTTTTAGCACTGTGTAGATGCTGTAGACCTCTTAACCACTGTGTAGATGCTGTAGACCTCTTAACCACTGTGTAGATGCTGTAGACCTCTTAACCACTGTGTAGATGCTGTAGACCTCTTTAGCACTGTGTAGATGCTGTAGACCCCTTAACCACTGTGTAGATAATGTAGACCTCCTTAGCACTGTGTCGATGCTGTAGACATCAAAGCTTTGGCACTGTGGCGGAAACTAGTTCCTATTGAGGGATGTTTCGGGTGCTCAGTAGTAAGTAGTGTGTAGCGTGTAGTGTATCTACACGACATACGGTCTGTGAAAAGTGTGTAGCGTGTAGTGTACGTGTATACTACATGACATGCGGTCTGTGAACCTGGTCTCAAATGTTGCATCATATGGAGAGGTTCGTGGATGGCAAAACTTGAAGATAAACGCTGCAAATTGTACGGATATTGTAGACTTTGGTTAGGATTAAACTAAGCTGTAGTCATCAGGTAGGCATAGGCTAGTCCGAGTAACTAGGACTCTACGGATCGCTTTTTAAATATTTGGACATGGTCGGGCGATAGTAGAGTCCGAGATCGATGGCCGGATGGCCCTATTGCGAATATTAAAGGGTTTTTTTGGACCATTTTCACTCGTACCCCCAATCAAAATCGTCATAATGTCACCCCCAAAACGTTCTTCAAACTACCTTATGTGCCCCCTGTAGGCTTCAGTGGGAAGTGAAAATACAAATTGTACTTGTAGTGGTTAGGTTCACATACCTTTGGGAAGAAACGAGAAATTTCACCTTCAATTCGGGAAACATCCATGACATCCTTGTCACAAACGCCTTGTTTGAGGCTACCATTTTGAATTCAGGAAAAGTAGACTTGTGCATGGCTCTGGCTACACTGTTTCCTGGCAAGCATCAGACAGACTAGCCCCACTAGTGTGGCCGCAGAGGTTCAGCGCAGCATACCGCGGCCACACTAGTGGGGCTACAGACAGACCAATCACAGGGCACTTTGATTGGTCACCAATCCTGGTGACTAATCAAAGTGCCCTGTGATTGGTCAGGTGACCAATCAAAGTGCCCTGTGATTGGTCTGTCTGAAGCTTGCTAGCCAGAGCCATGCAGAGCAAGGTAAAGTCTAGACCCGTGAACGCACTGTCTGCAATGTTATTGACGCCACGTTCACGGGTCTAGGTAAAGTCTAGTCAAATATGTTGCTTTATCGATGTACAAAAAATTAACAAAGACTGTCCCACTGGCTTCCTGTGTAGTGGTATCATTTTGGAAGATTTTGAAAGTTTGAGTTTTATGTGCATCATGTAAAATTGTAACAGTTAATGCTTGACTGTTGTACGATATGCAGAGAATGGCGGATACCACTCACAATGAGGTGTTTGATCGTCTGAGTCAGAGCTTCAAGGAGAGCAATCTTGGCCAGACCTCGACCGTTGCCAGCCAGTCTTTACTGAGCACTACCCAGGGAGCGGTCAGTCAGCCAGCAGGAAAACCAGATGAGAAGCTGCTCCAGTACATCAGGTTAGAGTTACTTATAGACATGTCCTTGCAAAGTAAAAGCGTTCCTTTGTCACGATGTCCCTCTTTAACCCTAATCGCCCTGAATCCCTTCAAAATCCTCTGTGCCAAGGTGAAGGAACTTGGAGGATTGAGGTTACATGGCAAAAGTGCGTTACTGATTTCGGAGGATGCACTTTGTCAAGATCTTGGGCCGGACCTTGTGTTGTTTTTGCTCCGCTGTGCATTATGCTTGAAATCCCCCGTACTACTTCAGGATGTCACTGGCCAAGCCTCAACATATTGACAGTCACTGTGGCAGGATTGAGGCTACATGTATATGCTATTTTTCCATGAGGCTACATCCTAGCAAAAAGGCCTAGCTTTTGGGAGTTAGGGACACAGGCTAAAGAAAACAACTGGAACATCCCAGAATTTGCTCCATGATCTCCGATTCACATTCACTCGCCAGAGGCCTTTTTGGTTCATGAATAGCCTGCCCATTTGACTTATCAGAGGGTTCCCACCCATTTTTTTCACCATTACAGCTCCGGATGGCATTGCATGTGGCATCTCACTCGTCACGTTTTGTTGGCATGACTGAATTAAAAGGAACTTCCGGTGAAATCAGATAACTGTTATTCAAGTTGAAATATTGGGATAACCATATTTTGAAATCTGCAATTTCTCGTACCACTAATTGAATTTGGCCAGCCTGAACCCCATGGTGACTGCTCTATGTTCCGACACCCCTATGTTCCGACAACCTAGATTGTGTTACTCCCGGTTAGGGTTAGGGTTAGGGTTAGGGTTAGGAATAGGAATATGTGCAGTCGGAACATAGGGGTGTCGGAACATAGAGGTGTAACCAACCCCATAAGCTCAGTGGTCAATTAAGGCAAGGTCTCGAAAGTCAGAATTCTTGGAACGTTTTACTGGGGAACATCGCCTGTTCCATTTCGGGCGATTCACAATGCAGTGCGCCACCAAGAGTTTGCCATGGAGAGTCCATTTTTTCAAGTTTATGGTCGACAAAACATGACCCATTTAAATGAGTGTCAGTAGACAACTTGAGCTAATTTGTTATAGATTGGGGCATATCGTTCTGCTGTCTTACAAAAAAACACCATATTGATAAAAAGAAAAGAAAATGGCAAACAGATACTCGAATCATACGCTTACGAAAGTACTGACTGGAAAAATGAACAATTTCAAATATCCCGCTGCGAATTTGTCGACCACTGGGAAAAATGAACTCTCCGTGGCAGACTCTTGGTGGCGCACTGCATTGGGAATCGCCCGAATTGGGAACATGCGTTGTTCCCACTGTGAACAGCCCGGGAACGCCAGATGATTCCATAGGGGAATGTTGAATGCCGCAGCCATGGTCCAGTGGTTATGGCGTTTGACTCGTTTACGATGGTGCATGGGTTCGAATCCTGCCAGGAACATGGTGTTTGTGCCCTTGGGCAAGACACTTAACTACAATTGCCTCTATCCACCCAGGAGTATAAATGGGTACCTGTGAGGGTAGAGGACGGAATGTGCGCTGATATCGGCTGCCGTGTGGTCTCGTGGCCTGATGAACGGTGAAATAATTGTAAAGCACTTGAGATTGTTGATGGAAAGCAGTATGTAAGCATAACAATTTTGTGGTGCACCAAAAAATACTGAGAACCAGGCTGTTTCAGTAGGGATGGGAACACACAGTAATCCTAAAAGGAACGTTCCATATGGAATGGGAACGTTCCGACTTTTGAGACGCCCCCCAGATTGCCATGAAACTGGGTTGATTGGGGATACGAGGTTGATTTCCAAATTTGTCCTCGCAAAATCTATGATTCCCTTTCATCATATATAGGTACAAGGAGTGGTTAGATACAGTCAAACGGGACCATGAAGCTGCACTGGAGGCAAGAAGGGTGGTCAGCTCAGCCAAAGACCAAGACCAACTCAATGAAAGGTACCTTAAGATGTCAGATTTCACTTTCAGGTGATAAAATGGTAATTTAGTAACCAAATTTGATGCCATTTGGTGTTTCTGTGAGGTTCTTTTAGGATTAATTAGACATGTAATGTATTTATTATTTATTTTTAGGATTCTGAAGCTCCAACAGGAACTTTTAAAGGAGTCAACAAGCCACTCGCTGAAGGAGCTAGCACTGAGAAGGTAGCTGGCAAACCAGAAGCTTTGTTTTATTTGATTTAAGGCCGTGACGGGTTCCTGGGTACCTGCAACCCGATCGCTGATTACGGGTACCCTATTCCATTTTATCGATTTTATGACCCGAAACTGCCTTTATAAATTTCTACATATCATTTCATAAAGGCAAGCACCCTTTTCTATTGATACTTGCCGATAAATTGTAAGACAAAAATCTGAGTAAAACATCTTTTGAGTCCATTTACCGACAATTGCGATTTACATTAAAAAAATATCTGGTACACTGACTTGCTCAGAATGCTTGGCACATGTAAATTTGAATTCTCCAGACCAAAGACACCAATTCCCCCCTCCCCCCTTTTAGGTTTAATGCATTCACTGGTCCACAATTCAATTCTATTACATAACATTGCTTCAAACTTGTAATGGCCTATCTTTGTTTTTTTCCCTGTCTGCTTTGCCAGACTGCAACTCAGCGATACCTTCCTGCAAATCCTCTTCCCTGCTTCCACCAGTCAGTCAGCCGTTGAGCAGAGGGACAAATTCCGTGACTTGACCTCCAGACAAAGCCAGCTGGTTACAGAGGTCATAGGTCACCAGAAGGTCTGCCAGAGAACGCAAGATGAGTTGGACAGTGTCCGGAAGGAGTGCGTGGGTTAGTTACATTTTGTCGGGTGTTTTCTTCAGTATATTATTTGACTTTCGAAGAATGTTTGGTTCATTAGCTTTTCCAACCTCAAAAACAGCTTGAACAGTAATTTAAAGTATGCTAGGGGTCCACTACAGTGAAAACAATGGGGTGCACTGTAGATAGTTCAGTCAAGCAGCCATGTGTTGTGGCGATTTTTAGCCACGCATGGTCGGCATAGGCCAAGTTTGCACAAGGACTATAGTTGACCAATGGTTAACTAACGTTTGCCCGAACTCTGTCTAGTCGACGGTGGTTGACTACGCTAGTCGACTATTTGGAACCAGCCTACTGGGGTTGGTTGCTTCGCTGGTAACCAATAGCCGCGCGCATTCATAACGCTAGCCCTAATTGTAGTCAAGGAGGATTTTCATTAAAGACAGATGTTCAAAAGGAACTCGAATTTTGAAAATAGCATCTTTAATTCCTGTGATCTGCCTTGCAGTTGAAGTTTACAAAGAGTTCAGGAAGTCTTTTTACCTATATAATTTGCAAAGCATTAGAAGCATTTTGCTGGTGCCTTATTACTTCCCCGGAAGTTACACTTTTCAATGACGGACAATTTATTGAGTCAATCACGTGCAATGTATTCCATTTCACACATTCTGGGCCGTGCCGCAGCCTTTGAGAAGTGTTAAATACCTTTTCGGTAAGAAAAAATCATATAATTCGTTCAAAACATCCCGATTTTGTTCAACAAATTCACTTTATGCTTTTTGAAACATCCCTCTTGCAAAATAATGGAGTGTTCAGCTGGCGTTGCGTTTTGAATTTAGAACTATAAAATTCTGACTCCCTGGTAGTGTTGCGCATGCCTACGTGAGGATTGTGAACGTTCAACCAATGAAACGATAAGAGGCACTGGATTTTTAGGAGTCCACATTTTATTGTGACACTGGAAAAGTGTTTAAGACCAGCTAGCCATGTCTTTATCATCCGTTTAAGACCGGCCACGTGACGGGCTCTCGACCAATAGGAATAGCTAAACTGTCTGAGGTATTTATGAATGATGCATAAAAAAACGTACACATGTATACTAAGTTAAGCATGGATTTCTATCATAAGTGTATGGTAAAATGACCCAAGACTGTAGGACATACAGGTTCGAAAAAGGAACAACATTCACTGAATCTCTGCCAACTTTTTTTGTTTTCTTTTCTTTTATGTACAGAAATCAAGAAGAGGAACAGAGAAGTCATGGGGGAGCTTTTGAAGAAGAATGAGGAAAGGAAACAACAAGCGAGTAGCTACGACAACGAAAAACACCGGCAAGTGTAAGTGGAAACTATGTCAGAATTTCACCCATTGATAAAAAACATTGTCAGATGGTTAAAAAAAAACTTTCATCAAGAAACAAATCAAACAGTGATCAACAGTGATAGGCAAAAATGCAAACCTGTGTAGGGTTCGAAATTAAAATTAGTCTTCATTATAAATACTTGCTTAAAAAAAGTTAAAAACCGTATTGCACACACTAGATTGAAATTAGTGTTGTGCACTATCTGGTTGGATTGACCAGGCCAAACCAACCCGAGACATAGATATAAACCGAGTCCGAACCGAAACAGATCTGAACTCCATAAAACTGACCTGACCCGACCCGACAAAAATTCAAGGAAAACTGACCCGAGCTGACCCAAAACCGAACCGACCCGAAAAACACCTGAATATCTGGCTTGGCCCACTGTGCCCATTTTTGTGCCTGACTTACCCTCGTCGCATGAAAATGCTCGTCTCTCAGTAACTGAATCATACCGTACGGTACTCACAACATGACCTACTGGTGGGCCTACATGTTATAGACTGTGAGTGATAGACCGCAAACCATTTTGGTCGTACAAGGCACAGTGACTGCAAAAAAATATTGCACCTTGTGAATTTCCGAACTGTTTCATTTTTTTTGCGGGGGGGGGGGGGGGTATTTTGCAAACTAACCCGAACTGACCCGACTGAAATGGACAAGCCGACTTGACCCGGTCGGTTTCGGGTCGGGTTCGCACAACACTAAATCGGAAGGCCAATTTCTCAATTTTCACCAATTGAAGGGTTTCACCCAAAAATAATGTTGATTTTTGTTATTTCTTGCAGGCAAGGTGAGATCAAGAGAATCTTATCTCACATCCAGATTGGTCGCAACATCCTTCAAGGGTTAGTCGTTGGTAGCGGGGTGAACTGGGCCGAAGACGAGCATTTCAAGGAATTGATGCTCGATCTTGGAAGACCTGTGCAACTTGAGCCAACAGACGGCAGTACTTAGGTTAATTCTACTGATTTAACTTTGAATATTGACTACTTGAACTCGTGATCAGAGGGCCAGGGATTCGAATCCAGCTGCTGGCCATATGTTGTGTCCTTGGGCAAGCCGCTTCACCCCAACTTGCCTCTCTCCACCAAGGAGTTTAAATTGGTACCGGCATTAGCTGGGGAGTAACCTGCGATGGACCATCATCCCATCCAGGAGGAATAGAAATATTCTTAGTCGTTTCATGCCAAGGAAACTGGAAACAAACGCCGGCCAGATTGACTATACTGGCTCATGACAGTTTTAATATGTAGTACAACTAGCCTCCCTCGGTGATCCATGGAGCATTCCTTTTCCCTCAGTTTTGTCTTGAGGAAAACACAACGCTCCACGGATCACCTCAGGCGGCTAGTTTTGCCACACCGCTCGAAGCAGTCAATGCATGCCCAAGACAGCGGAGATTGCTTTTGCCCTCACGGTCCAAGGAATGGGACAGAGTGTGTGTAAGTTTTCGTTGCAGTCGTAGTCACGGGCAATATTTTGATATATATTGTTGAAAAACACTTTTCCGACAGTTATCTTCCTGGGTCCGCCCTAGTTATGTAGAGAGACCTTTTTTTCGCAAGAGGGGCACTTTTGCTTTTGATGGGCAGTTCAGTGACCATTTTATTCGCGTGAAGAACACTATATTTTTTTAGGGGCCCAGTTTTCCATCTTGAGAGGGGGCACATTTTAATGTTGCAAACGCTTTCGAGGGCCAGTTTTCCATGTCGAGAAGTTATCGCGAGAGGAGCACCATTGTTTTTATTGGCCAGTTGTCCATCTCGAGAGGGGCACAATTTTATTATTGCGAGAGGGGTACTTGTGCTTTTGAGGGATAGTTTTCCATCTCGAGAAGGTTCAAAATCTTGTTAATGCGCAAGGGGTACATGTGTTTTTGAGGGGCAGTTTTCCATTACAAGGGAGAAGACAATTTCATTTGTAGCGCGATCATAATGCTTTCATGTGTGTGTTACAGGGGCAGTTTTCTTTTCATCTCAAGGGGGCACATTAATGACCGCGAGAGGGGCAAGTTCCCCCCGGTTCCGCCGCCCTGTCCCTTTAATAGCAAGCAGAAGGAGTTTAAAGATGCCAAAGTGAGACTTGGTTTTTTTTCTATTAAAAATCCCTTCTGTTTTTCAAAGTCAGGAATTTAAAATACAATTTGAAAGACAAACGGTAGAGGTGAAATCAAGTCATCTTTTTTATTTACATGTACATGTATAATTCTCTTTTGTAAAAGTGTACATATTTTTCTAAATTATATTAAACTCTTAAAAAACCTTTTTTTAAAACCTGTGAAGAAGCAGAACAGATTTCTTTCATATTTCTGAATGGAATAACCGATATTTCAAAGAGAACAGTTATGCAAGAGATCAACGTTAATTGTAAATATGTTGTATACAAGTAATAGTTGCAGTGACCAATAAATATTCTGAGTCTCACAAAAGTTTTGGTATACAAACTGAATATTTTTTTAGCTGAAACACAAAACTGCTTTAAAACCTGCAAATAACAACAATAAATATTGTTTTCTCAACAATTTACAAAACCATGTTGCCATAAACAATACAGATGGGGGTTGTACCAATGCAGGGTTCGACCTTAACTTTTTTGTTCACTAGCCAGCCAGGCTACTGAAACAGACTCTTAACTAGCTCGCAGGCATTTTCACTTGCCCGCATGTTTTTCTTTTATAGTCTCATAAACAATAATGTGCATACATGTAAAACGTGTATCCTGAGGCAATCTTGTCAGTGTTTTTGATAAACAGATCTAATAATTTAACCCTAAACAAATAATAAAATTAGACACAAATCGATACAGGTTTGCTTTCTGAATTTAATGATTTATTTCTTCCTGTCCTTTCATCTTTGCCGTAGCCCAATAATGTTTGACTTGCCAGCCAGGCTACTTAAGGAATAGTTTGACTAGCCTGCCGCTGTTTTGACTAGCATTTGGCTAGCGGGCTACCGCTAAAGTTAAACCCTGCAATGTCAAGATATTTGTCCATACAATCAAAATTGTTAGGACAATAACCTAGATATAAAGTAAAACATGTGAAAAGATTGTCTAAACTTCTTTACAGCGTGCAAGGGAATACGCCCCCCCCCCAAAAAAAAAAACATGTCCTTGCAGCAATATTTAGTCAACAAACTGACAAATTGGTTTTTTTTAAATTGCAATAATTGTTGCGGTAAAAGGTTCTTCTCATAAGGCCAAAAAAAAAAGTCTCCGGTTTCTGGTATGCGCGCGCGTCGCCGAAGCCATGCGCGTCGGCAACATGAAAAAGTTTTTTTTTTTTCAATAAAAGATGATGTCTCAAAACCGCCAAACTCACTGGTTTGACTGGAATCCTGCTGCTGCACAATTTTAACGTGTTTTTAGATGGGGTTATGATCGAGAATAAGCTTTATGTGGCCTCTCTGGACTCCCATATATTTGCACTAAGTTTAGTCGGGCACCATTTGCAGTCATCAGCCGACATTTGAAGCAAAAAAACAGGTAAAAAAAAAAAAGCCGCGTCGCCGCACCACTTTTTGGGCAAGCTCCATACCAGAAACCGAAGCCTTTTTTTTGGCCTTATACACACGTTTTTGAACCCATTTCAGCAGGGTTATTATATTGGACCATGCTATGCCATACTGTTTGGTCATGCATGTCAAATTTCTCCTGAAACAACTACTGCACTGTAGTGACTTAGTGACGTAAAAGAACAACCCTCTCGGAGTAAGGTCCATTTAAAGTCTTTCGGCACTCGATCCTTACTAAAAGAGAGACTTGAGGGTCTGCATGTTGGATATGAACAAAGAATGGAACGTTGTCGGTAACACCAGGGGCCAAGCACAACAATTTGCTTAGCACAAAACAAGTTTGGCTTGTAAAAGCAGGTTACCAGCCAAAACTCCATGTGAAGTATATTGCTCGTGATTAGTATTCAGCTGTTGTTTACTTAGCATGAAAATCACATGGAGATTCGGCTGGTAACCTGCTTTTAAAAGCCAGACCTTTTTGTGCTAAGCAAATTTTGTGCTTAGCAGCGCCGTGAAATTGGGCCCGGGAGACGGGTGACGAACAGAGCACACTGTTCGAAACGTTGAGTTAAAACACCTGGTTCTTCTCAGAACCACACAACTCAATAAGAGATATCATTCACATGGTGTTACCGCAAACGTTCCATCCTTATTACTGACAGGCTTGCAGGGGTGTAAGGTGAGCTCCCCTACTCGGTCCTTGTACAAGTCCACTTTAAGTTCTTGTTTCACCAAGTTGGCACTAAAAGCAAAAAAAGGAAGAGAATCGGATTTTTCCAGATGTTAATAATCTCACTTAAATGCAATGCACTGCAATAGTCTACTGTGAATGGTACTCCATGCAGCATTCATAAATACCTGAGACAGTTTACTAATTCCTATTGGTCGAGAGCCCATCACGTGGGTGGCTTTAAACCGCCGGTAAAACACCGCTGTATTCTGCGCCACATGATGCAGTACGCGCCACCCATACGCCAATTTTCATATAAAGAGATATTTAGTATTATATAACCGACACACAGATCCTTGTCATTTGATTGGTGGAACTCAAATCACGTGGCATTCGTTATTGCTCCCATTCATGCCGCGGCTCAAAAAGTACTATCCGCCCATGGGGAATGGGAAATACTATTCAACAGTTAGGATCATGACGCGGTATTTGTGTGCAAATGCATGCTGGTGTGCGCGTTCAGCGTTGTGCGTAGCGCATATTGTTCCAAAGAGCCAGCACTGTACTACAGTGTTGGGTTCAAACATTTTCGTGAAAGGGTGGTTTGGAAGAGAGAAATACATTTTCCTCCAGTTTTGTATTGAAAAAAAGTTCAAATATATCAAATGACAAGGATCTATATGTCAGTTATATAAAACAAATATTGAGTGGCTTTAAATTGTGAAATGGGAGGAATATTATCGCTCGGTAAAATCTGGACTTTTCCAGTTCACTCGGCTTCGCCTCGTGAAATGGAAAAGTCCAGATTTTACCTTGCGATAATATTCCTCCCATTCCACGCTGAGCCACTCAATATTTGTATACTACGCACGCAAGACACATACCATAGACATGGCCAGAGGGACGTTTCACAAAACATAAAGTAACATTTTTTGAATTTCTTACTTGTTTTGACTTTTTGACCGAAAGGTATTTATGAATGGCAATAAGGCCTAAAAAAAGAAGAAGTTATGTTGGCGTAACGGGCCAGAAAAAATAGGGTAGGTAGGTCGGTTTTTTTTTTTTTTTTTTTTTTTTTTTTTATCCCAGCAACGAAAATGACATTAAGCCGGTAGTAGTACACGATAACAAAAGAAAACAAGGCTACACACAATATTTGTATACTTTTAAACTCTGAGTGACATTTATTTCACTTTTTATGTCTTTCTTTTATAGTTTCTTGTTTTTGTGCAAATAAAAACAAAACTGTCAGATCGAGGAAAATTTAAGGAAGGCATGGTAGACCAAGGCCTGCAGTGTGCTTCAGGACAGATGAGGCATGAAGCCAACTTGCTGTTTTTGGTGTATCTGTAAAATGATATATTAAAAATAAAAAACCATGAATTAAGAGAAGTTCTGGCTGTTGTATTTCAGTTTTCAGTATGTTATATTCAAATTATAGACATAGGATAGGTTAGGACATTCAAGCAATATTTACCTTTTAGCGTTTGAATGGCCTAGATATCAAAAAGCGGAATCCAAAATCAGACAAAATGTTAGCCGTTTCATCTGCATCGACATCTTTAATATGGACCCGATTCTTCCTTTGAAGTTTGTATTTTTAGCACGGTGTAACCCGCTTTTACACCATCGGCACAGCTCTGGGCGATTACCCCCAGCTCTAGACTCAAATTTATCCGCATTAAACGGTCGAAAATGACCGAAGATCCCCATTTGCCCTTGATGGAAACACTGTACGCTTCGGTACCGGGCGCCATGATGCGACGGCGTACGCGCGTAATCACGGGCCGGGGGCCGGCCGGGTCGCGTCGGCCGCCGGGGTTACAGAATAGTTTACCATTTTTAGAATAAATATAATCAATTGTTATCGTGTAAAATAGTGGAAAATTAATTAAAATAATTTATATTATAATGAACTATTTTTGTTAACATGGAATAAATATGTAGCAGTTCGCGCTGTGCAACAGTCTAGGACGAGGCAATACATGTACTGTACATGTACATGTGCATCTATCATGCATGCATGGTGCATCGATCTCCGCACGCGCACTGCCTGTAGGCCTGCGCGATCTTCTGCATGTTCGTTGTGTCATGGAGAGGAAGGTGCAAAACATTGTGCTCTCCAAAGTTCCACGCGCGCTATCGTCATACAATTAAGGAGAAACGGTCAGAAAAGGTTTCAAAACGTATTTAAAATTCATTTCTATAGATTTTAATTATATTTCTTCCCTTCAAAAAAAAAAAAATATCCAGGGTCGGCCGCATTTTTAGGGTCGGTCGGGTTACGCCAACATAACACCTTTTTTTTTTAGGCCTAGGGTGAAGCTCTTTTAACATTGTTTTACATTGTGACTGCTTATAGTGATACTTTTAGCATCATCCTCAACTATCTTATCATGAACACTATTAACATTAATGATCGTGACAAAGTTTGAACATTTTGCAGTAAATAATAAATTAACAGTAGAAGCAAAACACAACTTTGATCTTAAACGTAACGCAGTCGCTATTGTTTCATGGAAGTGGACTAAACTGTCTTATTTGAAAAAAATAAGTTGCGTTTGACACCACTTTTTTCCATTATCATCGCAATAAAGGTCAGTCATCGCAAAAAATGTTGAAAAGACACAATTGCGGATTAAAAAACATTTCTAACTTTAATAGAAAATACTTTGAAAATGCACTCAACTCTCCTTAGACTTTGTACACAACCACTGAAGTGGTGTCTAGACACTACATAATTCTTTCCCTTTATTTGCCTTTGCAAAATGCTCCAAAGTCATAATTCACTAAAACAAAAAATATAAAATCTGCTTTAATAAAAGCAAGACTTGACTAGAAAAAAAGTGAAACAGAAGAAAACTGGCCCTAGTTATTTGTAAATCATTCATCAGGCGCGGATCCAGAGGGGGGTTTGGGGGGTCCAAAAAAAACCCCAGCTCTGTAAAAAAAACAACAAATTATCATAAAAATTCCAAAAGAATAAGTCGAACCCCCACCCCCCCCCCCCCCCTGCTGTGACACCCCCCATAAACAATTATACTGGTATAATGTCCGCCTGTTCAAAATACGGTACATCATTCTGTAATGTAGTGTTAATAATCGTCAAATTTCAACAGCGCCCCCTATTGAAATATGGTACCAGCCCCCCCCTCCCCCAAGGTTTAAAATTTTACGGAGGCCAAGTGTCCGAAGAAAAAAACCTGTGTACATTTTCAGATTTTTTTGCTGATGAACCCCCCCCCTGCGAAAATTCCTGGATCCGCCCCTGTTCATGGTTTAATTATTCGTCCTTGGCCTTACCTTAACTTTATAATTCCTGTCCCTCATCGACGCCTGCACATCTTCCAGAACAATCTGTAGAGCGTCATCGTAAAATAAAGCGCAGAACACGATCACACTTGACAGCTTTTACGCTTTTTGGGGTCATTTTGGAGGTGTTTTGGACATAGTTAAGCCAGTATGCTTGCATTGCAGTGTAGACTCTGTAGTGATGACTGTAAATAATAACACGTAGGCGCACCCATGGGCATTTCTTTACTTTTACTGCATGTATTCTACACCGTAAATAACCTGAAATACGAGGTCAATTTTTTTCGGACGAAATTTCAGTTGCCACTTGGGTGCTTTAACAGTTTTTATAAATTGATTTCATCATAACAATTATATACAGATTATTTCGGTGGGTGGTTTTCTGGACCTCTCGATGATTAAAAAATAATACAACAAAAGGACTTTTCCTATTTGAGGGGTCCGGAAGCGCGCCACGAGGGATAAACTTCTATTGTATGCTTCACATCAAACAGTAAAAAAAACCGCAGTCGCAAGACCTGCCTGCTCTGAAAGGAACAACTCAGTCGATCATAGAAAATAGAGAGTTTCTTTTAAAGAATAGGAACAAAACTATTAACAAAACTCAACCAACACCAAACCAACCTTAAACCTTACCCTTGCCCCACCCTAAACCAAATCCCGGCCTCATTTTTAACCCCGGCAAGCCTCAACCCTTACCCCGACCCTCAAACCCCACTCATCCTCAACCGATCTTCACATGACCTTTACATTCCAGCCCCAAATGTCATCCTCCTGACTCACTAGAAAATTAATTCAAACATCAACACATCAACAGCAAACATGCACTTTGTCTGCAATAACTTTAATGGCAAAGCAATTACGAATTTTATCAATTCAATATTAAACATAACTACTTGTGCGAAATGTGTTCACGATAATCAAATTGAGAGTTTATCGTTCATAACAACGACATTTGATTCCAGTGACTTCAAGTAAAACAGTCAAGGAGGCTCCGTGCTTTTACTTTCCGGTAAATTCGATCGACCTCTTCCAAACATGGAGTATATTGCAAACGTGCTTGAAATGCAAATGAAGTCCAACCAAAGGTTTTAAAAAGCCGCATGTAGGCCTAGTTTCCACAATTTAACAAAAGCAGGCAGTTCCCATATTTTATTATTAGTATTTTTTTTAAAACATATTCTGAATAAATGTATTTGATACTTATCACATTATGATTACCTTGTGTTGTACTAGATTTAAATGTACTAATTAAGCAACACTTTTCTATGACCAAAAATTATAAACTGTTACTGTTACTGACAAGCGTTTGACAAAAACTCCTATTTTTTTCTCAGTTACAGTGTCAACGTTAAACAAACAACATTGCCGGAAATTATAAACAATTGTTTTATAAGAATTAAAAAATGACGTCTCAAAGTCAATTAGCTTCAATTAAACAATCTAATTATAAAAATTAAGTGAAATTCTCATTAACGTGGGAAAGAAAAATAAAGTTAATTTGAGAATATTCAAATGTAGATTTATAAATATTTTTTTAGCGTGTCCCGCCCACCTATGGAAATTTTTTCAAGCCATTTATCTGGAAACACCTTTTTATTTTAAATTGAAGTATGACTGAGAGACATTTCTTTGGTAATCGTTTTGGGCCGGTGACCGAGAACATATTCCCGAGGACAAATTATGATATAGGGAGCATGTGTAGATACAGGGGGCATCATCCTTTAACAAAATTAGGAGCCTAAGAGAATGTTCGAAATCCGCACCGATCCGCACTGATCAGCACCGATGCGAGTTCACTCAGCGTGACATAAGCACAACCGATACGTTTGTATTCATGCGAATCACGTCTACACATTGTATTTTATTTATTGTTTGGTTTATTTAATTATTCAAATATAACACTTTCAAAATGTTGGTCAACTGCCTTGTCAAATTTCAAATCCACTTCATGTGAAGGCCCAAAATGGCCTGCGTGCCAAGGCTATATGGGATTATCTAACAATGTATGTTTGACCGTCATAGTTATGTTTAGCGTATTAACACAAACAAATTATCGATTTGCTATATTTATTCAAAGCTCTTACGTTTCTGCATGATCGAATGTATATCCAAGCATGTTCAAACAAGACGTGATTATATGCAAGATTACCAGCAAACATTCTTTTCATAAATGCCCTGCCTATAATATTGTACTGATCTGCGTGTGCATTGCATATCCAAATATTTAATTAAGTTATTTTGAGGACATTTAAATAACATATATTTTAATCCACTTCTATGTTGTGTTGGGAAAAGTAGAATTCGGCAATGCGGGTGATCTTTTATATTTATGCGCGTTTATCCGAAATTATATTGTTATTTTACTCAGCGAAGAGGAGAAAGCCGCTAAATGAGGTTTCGTGATCGCTATCACCATGCGCTTTACCGGCCATTGTTAGATAAACCGTATCTCCGCCCTGCAGAACCAGCACCGCGCTCCCAGACACCTGCTCCGGATCAATTGGATTTGAATCATTAGAATAGGCAGCAACAACACTGCTGTTGTTGTTGTTTTTCCTAAGAAAAACGAAAATGGAGCTGCTGGAGAAATATTTCAGAACAGAAAACATGAACACGTAGGTGCCCGGCACATTACAGGTAAATGTGCCAGTATCTAGATCGAAGGTGGTACCCGGCAGAAGTGTCTCGATCCCCTCGAAGGGCAAACGGGTTTCGCGGCTTGAGGATGTGAAGTCGCTCAACTTCACCACGGTGAATGCTACCCGCTTGTTGGAGTCGTCTGGGGTTTCACCTGGCTCACCTTTTTGACCCTTGGCACCAGTCTGCCCGGCTGTTCCGACTAAACCTGGTGCCCCTTTTGGACCCTTCGCGCCCGGCAGGCCCAAGCCGTCGTCCCCTTTAGGACCAGGGTTCCCAGCAGGTCCCTGGTCGCTCTTAGGGCCAATCGGTCCTATCTCACCTTTTTGACCTGCATTGCCCCTTGACCCCGGGTATCCAGGCATACCTGGAATTCCGGGAATTCCAGACGATCCATGGAAGCACATTTGGCACTCTTCACACCTGGGACAATCATCGTCCAAGGGGACCGGCCCAGTAACGGAAGCTCGGACCTTGACAGAGTTATCTAGAAGAAGGGCGATTGAACAAATAGTTGCCAGGCAGATCTTCATCTGTTGAGAGAAAATACAATAAAATAAAACACATTTTGGGGGAGAAATGTTGTGGAAAAATAATGAAGAAGACGAGGAAAACAAACGAGTTCGGAGAAACGGGGGAATTCAACAGAGTAATTAATTGTTTCCGCCGTTTGTTAAAAACATGCACATTAGCGTGTTAAGTATTCGAACAAATATTAAACCTGACCAAAAAACTTACAAGGTTAATTGGACGTACGAAATTCATTGCCTTTAGATGAACATTGAAATAAGACTGAAGAGTAAATCGCCGGACAGGTTCTTTTGCGACGAATCTGTCATTTGTAGAATTAGAATGACGGAGTTTGCCAGTCTGAAAACAAGTTGAGTGCCTAAGGCCAAACCAAAAAAAGTCTCCGGTTTCTGGTATGCGCGCGCGTCGCCGTAGCAATGCGCGTCGGCAAAATGAAAAAGTTTTTTTTTTCAATGAAAGATGATGTCTCAAAACCGCCAACTCACTGGTTTGCACAATTTTAACGTGTTTTTAGATTGGGTTATGGTCGAGAATAAGTTTTATGTGGCCTCCCTGGACTCCCATATATTTGCACTAAGTTTAGTCGGGCACCATTTGCAGTCATCAGCCGACATTTGAAGCAAAAAAATCAGGTAAAAAAAAAAAAAAAAAGCCGCGTCGCCGCACCACTTTTTGGGCAAGCTCCATACCAGAAACCGTAGACTTTTTTGGGGCCTAATTCTGAAAGCAAACCAATGAGAAAACTGAAATTCGTCGTTATGATCATGCACTTAAACGAATTCAGGCATAAATTTATCAGGCCTGTGGTATTTTGGATCTTCTTAATTCCCATATGCGACAGCCGATTTTCCTAAAGATTGGCAGGAATGTCGTGTTGCCAATAACCAACAATATAATTTGGATGCACTACGCAGACCACAAGAGGGCTCCTTATATTACTGCATATTTGCCATTTTTTGTCAAAAGAGTATTGTTGGCATAATTTATACATCTGTCACTCAAATACCTTCAAAGTTTGTACAAATAGTGTTTGGCTTGTAATACTTCAAATATAACAAATGTTGGCATCCAGAGTCACTGCTATATTCGGTCAACATCATATGTTTATGTGTGTAATTTTGTCTTACAAGTGGCATGAATGAAGTACCCATCATTAAAATATGCTTTGCATTTTGTTCTGCAAGGTACAGTATAAAAAAGAAACCCCATACAAAGACAATTGTGTAAAAAAAAAGATTAGAAAAAATTAAAAGCAGCGTTTTGCGCCAATTGCGGTTACACTGGAAATCCAGTATGCATTCGTAGTTGGTCATGTGACAATGATTTTTTTGTCTGAAGTGGAGACTTGAAAGGTTAAAAAAATGGTTTTGACGCACAAAAGTGGCTTATTTCCATTTGTTTTTACCCAAAAAAAATGCAAAACAAAATGATTACTTGTGTTTTAATCAGTTTCTTAAGTAACCACTGACACTCGACATAATGTAGTTTGGTACCATATTCTTCCAGGTAAAAGTTAGAAAGAGAGCATTATGAAACTAAGACGTTTCAAAGGGGACTATTTTGCCCCTAGTCCGGATAGAAATGAAATATTTTGTTTAAATTCCGAAATTGGCCAAACTGCCAGGCACGGTACTACATGTACAAGGAGTCATAAGAAAAGTATACCCATGTAAATTATAACAAAATCCCCTCAATATTTCAGGGGAAAAAAAAAATCATATTTCCGGAAAAAGGTCAGGATTTTCTCCTCCGATGGTATCGAGTTCATACAGTCATTGCCACTGATGACTGTGCAATAGTGGATTTGTTATAGTTTACATTTTTTTCAATGAATGTTAAGACACCCTGCATAGTCAAGGGCTGGAAACCCCTCACTTCTCACACTTGTTTATTGAGCGTCGTTTTCTGTTACAAAATATAAATATATAAAAGCTCAGAAAACACAATCGGCTATATGTTTGACCAAAGGAAGGGGGGGGGGAGGGGGTGGAGAATAAACAGAAGTGATGCCAATTGGTCATTATACCTCAAATTCCTTTTTTTAAATTTAAGTATATTTACAAAACCGCTTACATAAACGGGATTTTTCTAGGTTTTTTATCCCCCAAAATGCTTCTTCATAGCATATTTATTCGGTCAAATAACTATATAGGCTAGTCTGGTGTTTAATGGAGTTAAAAATCCTTGCAGACATTTCCTGTAACAGAAACTCACCTTGATGTAACGTTCTTGAATTCTATCACGTGAGGGATCCTCAACAGTCGAACAGAATACTGGCTGAAAATATTACCAACAAAAATGGAAAAAAACAGTGATTGGGATTTCTGGGGGACTGTCATAGGTGTATTTTGTGTAGTTTTTGCGCCGCTAACACAAACAGATACATACCACACTTATTATTATCGGGATGAAAATGCAATACTTTTTTCATTCCTAAAAAAATCCATCCAATGTTTCATTCAAAAGTGATTTACATTTCTAGATCTAGAAAGGTAGAAATATAAAACAAGACCGGGAGTTTAGAGTGAAGCTCGAAAATAACGCGGGGAAGGAAACTTGAAGGCACAATAAATTATTCCCTAAAGATAGGTGTAACAGGAAAGTGCACATGTCCGAATTTGTTTGGATCCATCTTACCTGAACAAAGCCTTACTCAGGGAATATTACCCAATGCGTACACTTGATGCAATAGCTGATCAGTCGGCACTTCTTGCAGTGTTTTTCAATTCAGTACCCTTTACGCAAATTGTGAATATTAGATGATACAGTGAAACAGTGAAAGTGCCGAACTCGGAACTCTAAACTCTAAGAAAGAAAATGCTTATGTAGAAAAAGCAAAATCGATGAAGTGTGATGTTGCATCATGTGTGGATGCCAAGTAGCTGGGATCCTAGAGCAAGCTTGGTGCCCACTGAAGTGGAACAGTAGGGTTGTAGTCTCAGTAGAGAGAGGACCTAGAATTTATTAAAGTTTGGGCACTTTCCTGAAGACGGTCAGAGCATACTGACCGGAACGTCGAGTTTATACCTCTGGTTCTTTTTAGAACCATTCTCTTAGTTGAGCAATTATTCGCACATGGTGTTTCCGCAAACCTTTCATTATTTAAAACCTCCATACTATGTACATCTGCGGGTTCGAGATTTAGAGGGGTTGACTTGCGCATATCTTGCGTGCAAGTCTATTAAAGGTTAAGTCAATGATTGTTAAGGGAATAAATGTGTGCTTTGGAGATTTTAATGACTCTGTTTAAGACTGCTTGCCGTCTGGGTGTTGTTAATTACCCTCACCTTCGGCTCGGGTTATTGTCAGCACCCAGACTCCAAAAGTAACAGAGTGATTAAAACCGACCAAGCACATATTAGTTCCCATTCATAAATACCTTTTTCGGTATTAAAAAAAATCACATCATTTCGCTAAAAAAAAATTTGTTCACCAAGTTCACTTCATGTTTGTCTAAACACCCCTCTAGCTAAATAATGGAGTGTCCAGCTCGCGAATAAGATGTAAACACTCCTTTTATGAGATTGGCGCGCGCGTCGCGCGTACTGCACGATGTCACGCAGAATGCACCTGGGGCGTTGAGTTGTGAATTTAGGACATACCAACCTCGTCCCCAGGTTGTCAAGCAGTACGCGCCCACCACTACCTGCTTTCTCAACCTGGTATTGGATCATTTGCATGTGCAAGATTTTTGAACAGGTATGCGAATGAGGAATAGTCTGGTGCCTGCCTGTGCGTTACATTTATATTTGTTTTTGTACGCGGTGTCTGGGGTAAAAACAGAATCAATTCGTCGCAGGGCGAGCATGGCGTGAGTTACGAAAACACTATTTTATTTTAATTAAACAGTTACGATCTTAACGAGACAACTTGCAGTATCACATTTCATATTAATATTAACAAATTGGAAAGGAAATGAATATTTTCGAGAAGGCGTGGACGAATGATCGCGAAAACACGTACTGCACGTTGTGAATAACAACACCAAGTGCACGATATAAATCCATTTCTAGCCAATTGCGGTATCAAATCAGGATACAGGGAGAAAGTTTGCCAATTAATCCAGGGCTTACTATAGGAAACGAGGTTGGAAATAAAGTAAGCACTGGGGACGAGGTTGAGGACATTCTGACTCGCTGGTAGTATAGACTTGACTCAAGTCGGAATTGCTTTAAGTCGGTATCTTAAAAAAAGTAGCAAAAATCACTTAGTTTACGTCTTTCCAGATGCCCGACAAGGTACACTTAAGCGCGCGTTCCACTTCAGTGCCGTATAACAATGCGCACACACTGTACAGTATGTACAACGTAAATTGTACAACACGCGTATTACACGCGTACATTTGTGTGCATGTATTCAGAACATGTGCATACAAGTCATGTGGTGCAAAAGTTAGCAATTCCGACTTAATCAATCTGCCATCAGCACGGCCCCTCGCGTGCACGCGCCTGTATTCACAATGCATATGCAACACCATCTCTATGCATATGCAGCAACATCGCTTGACCAATCAAAGTAACCGTTTTTCGAAGACTCGTTTATTATTTTCAGTAGGTATGGAAGGCTGGATAACAATCTGCAAAAGTTTAAAAACGTAATCTTAATTTGTAGATTTCAAACACATTATATTGGGATGATAATGCTAAGATCAGCTGCTCTTGGATTGAATTAATAAAGAATACGACATTCAAATGTTATTAAAAACAAAAGGGAATTTTTATTGGGGTTAACCTGTAAAAGATGTTGAGAACCATTGATACCGCTTCGTGTTGTGCGTACCCAGAGCCGTTTCAAAGCATTCGAACGTACGCGTGCGTGTATCTGTTTCTATTCCTCACCATGGGATGCGTGTTCATTCTCCGCGAAACTTTGGATGCGCGAATACGCAGACAACGCTGATTGCGTGTTAGGAATATTATCACAACAATCTGCGCGCGTTTTTAAGAATAAAAACGCTCATTACCTGAAAAACTGTGATATGATTGGCTTCTACCGAAATCGGTAGAAGCTAATCACATCGAGAATTAATTTCCATAGACTGTGTACAAACGTGGAACAAACCAGCGCGTACGCTTGGCAGATTGACCAAGTCTAGGCAACCTCGTTCCCAATGGGTACGATCTTGCTGCGCCATGTTGTTTCCCATCATGCCTTGCGCGATCTTAACCCCTGGGGTGCGTTTTGGCGGTCATAACCAAGAATTGGTTCGGTTGTTTCTCTTTGGGTAATTGGTTTGGGAATTTTAGTACTACATCATCATGCGTAGTTCTTACCAAATTAATATTGCCAAAGTACGAAAGCCCTGTAGTGCCATCAAATATATATTTTGAAAAAAACTGAAGTATATTTTTTCCAAGTTCGTTTTTACGAGATATATTTTTCCAAAGTTCGTTTTAACGTGATATATTTTTTCAAGTTCGTTTTTACGAGATATGTTTTTTCCCAAGTTCGTTTTTGCGAGATATATTTTTCCAAGTTCGTTTTTATGGATTATATTTTCCTTCACGCGGATTTCATTCGATAGTCATACGCGTGCCTCAGGGGCCTGTATAGTCTGGTTGCCAGACCAAAAGATTCTGACTATTCCTGATGAATCTTAGGTCCGATAGCCTCCGGTAATACATTGTTTTACAATTTACGTCACGTGACTAAAACGGGAGGAATTCCTCCTTTTTCCGAAAATTTCCGAAGTTTGCCGAAGTCGTTTCGTCGACAATCGGATAGTGCCCGAGTATCTCCGAGTATATAATATAGATTTAATTAACTGCTAATTGCTTATTAATTTTATTTTAAATGAGTTGATAATTAATATTCATCGCTTTCATTTAGAAAACTTGAAATTCAACGACGATTTTGTGCATCAAATATACTCGGATCGTATGGGCGAACTTTCTGCTGCGTCATGTACAATTTTCGGTCTTCATTCGGCTCCGCCTGCTAACAGTGCTATTTGTGTGCCTAATTTTGAAGATTCCAGATCAACATTAGTCAATGTTATCTTACAGAAACATCAAACTGTATTATCATAACTGTATGATATTACAAAGCAAGTGATTTAATTAAAAATTTGATCAGAAAATTAAAAGCTACAAGCAATAAAGCGAAATTGGAAACGAAGCCGAACTTTAAAAAAGGGTCAGCAATGTTGTCATGTTTATTTTTAGCCACAGAGGCTGCCTGACCTACAATTTTGACGTGAGCGTCGGGAATAATTGTCAGGTCTGGGAACCAGACTAGGGCCTGTACTGTGGGCTAGGCCTAGGATCGATCCAGAACTCGCATGTCCTCACAGAATTACAAGTGATGAACGCCAACGTGCACGTGACACTTTGCACCCAAGAAAATCTCGTAAAAACGAACTTGGAAAAATTTATCTCGTAAAAACGAACTTGGAAAAAATATTTCTCGTAAAAACAAACTTGGAAAAATAAATCTCGTAAAAACGAACTTTGGAAAAAATATATCTCGTAAAATTGAACTTTGGAAAAAATATATCTCGTAAAAACGAACTTGGAAAAAATATACTTCACTTTTTCAAAATATATACTTGATGGCACTCCAGGGCTTTCGTACCAAAGAAATTCTGCGACAAGAAACAACCGAACCAATTTTTGGTTATGACCATTGATCTCCGTGTATATGGAGATCAATGGTTATGACCGCCAAAACGCATCCCTGGTATTGTGTAATTTAAATGTGTCAAAATATGGCACATTATAATTAGGCTGCAGTTTATCCGTTGTACGTGCCGACGTCATCTTAAAATGTTAAAAGTTGTGATTTTGAAGAATCAATTCTTTCAAACATAACGTTTGGACGTTGCGTTATTTAGCAAAGATTTGTACTAAATGTACGTACCCCTTTCGTCCCTGTACAACCGAAGATACAGGATTTTTTTTTTTTAGCGAAAAACGAGGCTGCCATAATCCATATCGTACAGGGATCGCGACTTTTGAATAACAATTTTTTTCGTACGTGACGTTTACGTGCAAAGCAAGCGAGCGCGCATTATGGGCGCGCCCGGCGTGCAATCTTCGAAATGCGCGCGCAGTACGCTGTGAATATCCAATCAGCGTTATTTACGTCATCATTACGGCCAGGGGTTAGTGTAAGGAACGCGCACGCGCCCATGGACTCGAGGCTGAAGTCTGGGTTGCTGCATCACTTAAAAAATAACATACATATGTACATGTACGTTTTTAACATGATGGTCGGATTCGACGCATGAGGGCGCGCGTTATGTACTGTAAGGACGTATGCGATATGCGCTGTGAGTGGATTTAGGCACAGACCGAGCGCAACCCAGACTTGGCCAAGTCTAGGTTGCTCATAGAGCTATATTGAATTAGCTCTATGGGGTTGCTGCATCACTTGAAAATAACATGTACATGTACGTTAACATGATGGTCCGGATTCGACGCATGAGGTCGCGCGTTATGTACTGCAAGGATTATGGGACGTATGCAACCTCGTCCCCAGGGTGTCGAGCAGTACGCGCCCACCACTACCTGCTCTTTCACCCTGGTATTGGATCATTTGGGTAAAAACAGAGTCAATCATGGGGTAAAAACAGAGTCAATTCGTAGCAGCGCGAGCACGGCGTGAGTTACGAAAACACGATTTTTGAAATCAAACTGTTACGATCTTATCAAGACAACATGCAGTATCATATATCATATTAATATGAGCAAATTGGAAAGGAAATTGGTATTTTCGAGAAGCCGTGGACGAATGATCGAGAAAACACTTACTGCACGTTGTGAACAATAGCACCAAGTACACGATAAAAATCCATTACTAGCCAATTGCGGTATCCAATCAGGATACAGGAAGAAAGTTTCCTATCCAGGGTTTACTATTGGAAACGCGGTTGGAAATAAAGTAAGCACTGGGGACGAGGTTGGGACGTATGCGATATGCGCTGTGAGTGGCACAGACCGAGCGCAACCCAGACTTCGCCAAGTCTACTGGTAGTATTGCGCATACCTGCGTGATGATTGTGAACGTTCAACCAATAAAACGGTAAGAGGCACTGGATTTTTAGGAGTCCAAATTTCATGTGACACTGGAAAAGTGTTTAAGACCGGCCAGCCATTTCTTTATCATCCGTTTAAGACCGGCCACGTGACGGGGTCTCGACCAATAGGAATGGGTAAACTGTCTTTGGTATTTATGAATTTTTCTTAAAAGCTAATGGGTCTTTTGAATTTATTCTTACAACCTATAAAAACCTTTAAAAAATATATTTATTTTCTATTTCATGTTATTTTTCACCTTTTGGCCACCCCTGATTTGTAAAATTCTCACTACATATGTTTCTTTTAAGTCGATTTGATTCTTTCAGATTCTATAAATTGATAAAGTAGTAACAATTGTACAAATGCCATATCGTTGCTCTTTTTTGAAGAAGTTAATGAACCAAAAATATTATCATATTCTACATGTAAAACCTTTTAATATTAATTGTGCTATTCAAATGGTTCCGTATCATATATAGGCTCAGAAAAGGTCGTATCAGCGCACCGGTTTATGGTTACTAGCTTCAAGCTCCATAAATTTCAAAGCGGGAATGTGTCTCGTAAAATGTCGGGATATTTGGAAACATTTAGCAGCTTCAAACCAAGAAATATTCACGAAGTCAAACACATCCATCGCAGTTTCGTAAAAAAAATCTAAGTGGCTTGCTGAGTAGAACATTACTTGCGAAAATGAGACCTCATCGGAGGGCTTGTGCTGGAAACTTCCAAGGCAGACAACTGGGGCAAATTTCACGGCGCTGCCAAGCACAAAAATTTGCTTAGCACCAAAAAGTCTGGCTTATAAAAGCTGGTTACCAGCCAAAATTCATGTGATGTATATTGCTCGTGCTTAGTATTCAGCTGTTGTTTGCTATATCATGAAAATCACATGGAGTTTTGGCTGGTAAACTGCTTTTATAAGCCAGGCTTTTTTTGTGCTAAGCAAATTTTTTGCTAAACAGCGCCGCGAAATTGGGCAGAGCAGAAGGGCCGAATAACTTGTACAAACATTAACTCTTTGCATGATTTCTGCAAAAAAAATTTCCAAATTTTTCATGTGAAAAGCTTTGCAACACTCACCTTGATATATCGTTTCTGTGATCACTTCTATCGTGTTGTCTTCAGAATGTGAAACGACCCGGAAATAAATCCAGCTAGATAAAGTAAAATGAACTTGAATAAGGCTTTGCACTTCATGTCCAGCCATTTATATTTGCGCCCTCCAACAGTGACAGTCCATTCTGACTAGTGACAATTGAATTCAGCGATGCTTGAATGAAACTTAACGAAGGGCACGGATGGCGCACTTTGAACTAGCGAAATTACACTGTGTGTATATAAGGGCCAAACAAAAAAAATGGTGTGTTTACGGTAACGGCCTGAAAAAAATCCAGGTAGGTAGGTAGGGAAATAATTTTATTTTGTCAATTTTTTTTCATTTCAGTTCCGCATGCCCATGCGTGTTCTTTCGCAAAACAATTGTATAAAAACATTATTCAAGCATTCAAGATATTTAATCGATATATTTCATTCCAAATTAATTCGTATCGTCCCAGGGTTCTCCAGCTCCCCATGATTTTTTCAAACCTGTGGGGGAAGATTTGCTGTGACTCAATTACCCGAAACATTTTGAACTTTAGAAGCTCTCTGATGCATTTAAGAGCAAATCTGGGGGTCTTTATTACTTAAGATTTGTCTTTAAAATTCAGAGGAGATCTTGTAGGTCCCTAATATTTTTGTAATTAAAGAAAAAAAAATCAAAATTGTTAACTTAAAAAAAATCAACATTTCACAACCTGTGTTGAACTGCTTCCTGAACTAGAAAAGTATGGATTACA